GTTCAGCACCCACAACTGGGGTCAGATTTTTTTAAGAGCCCAGCTCCCATTAGGCACCTAACTAACAACATGATTTTCACGAGGGCTCTGCCACACCCACTGGAACACTTACGGCTGGATACTCAAGAGATCGGGACCCAATAGGCACCCAATGCACTGAGCACTTGTGAAAAATCTATCCCTTATGTCAGTTCCTGAGGTTACGTCTACACTGCAAAAAACAAACAAACAACCCCACAGCAGTGAGTCCCATGGGGTTTCAGGTCATGGGGCTTGTGCTATGGGGCTAAGAATAGCAGTGCAGATGTTCCCATTTGGGCTGGAGCCCTGGCCCTGAGATCCTCCCCCATCACTGGGTTTCATAGCCTGGGCTCCAGCCCAAACAGGAATGTCCACACTGCTACTTTTAGCCCCGTGACTCTGAACCATTTGACCCGGGCTCTGAGATGCGCTGCCGTGGGGTTTTCCTGGCTGTGTGGACGTACCCTGAGGGAGCCTCTACTCTGCAGCTGGGCGGGAGGGTAGACAGACACGTGCCAGCTGAGCACAGCCAGCGCTCGAAAAATACTAGTGTGGCCACCGTGGCCTGGGCTAGCCACGCAAGTACGGACCCAGGTGGTCGGGCATCACTGTACTCAGGCCGGTAGCTGAGCCGCTGTACGTGCTGCTACAGCCACGCCGCTATTTGTTAGTGCGCTGGCTTGAGCGGCTCCGCTCCCAGCTGCAGTGTAGACGTACCCTGAATAGGAGCCAGGCTCTTCTCAAAATGAGGCTCCACCCAGGGGTGATGAACTCTTGAGAAACCTGGGTGCTCACAGTGCGGCTCGCTTCAGAAATGAGAGCAGGAAATCCCGGAGAGTGAATCGCCAGACTCCAGAACAGCTCAGGCTTTGTCACCTGCCTCCAAACTGGGCTGTTTCTGACTCTGCATTTTTCCACACCCCAAACTCCCTTTGATTCGAGTGGAATAGTGCTGGGTGCACCAGGAACGCAGGGTCTGGCCTTGTTAGCCCAGAGTTTGGGGGGCTGTAAGGGGCATCGTGGGTGCCTTGCAAACACTTCATGCAGCACAATACACCGTGATTAATCCTGGGCTTAGGGTGGCTTTGGTACCTGTGCATTTTGTTTGGCTCCTCATTTATAACAACAACTCTGAGTTTTTCATAAGCAGATCTCAAAGTGTTTGACGAAGGAGGTCAGTAGCATTATCCCCATTTTACAGATGGGGAAACTGAGGCAGGAAGTGACTTACTCAAGATCATGCCGTAATAAAGCCAGGAATAGAACCCTGGTCGCAGGCCTGTGCACTATCCATTAGGCCACACTGCCTAGTGGAGAATTCAATATATTTTCTCAAAGTCTCTGGTTTGTGCCATGAAATTGCATTTTTTTCACACTAGTCAAAGGGAAATTTTTGTGTTTACTTCATGGACTTTTCTGCTTCTCCTTTGCTCCAACCATTTCCTCTCCAGACGAATTGGGGGAGCAATTTCCACGTCCTTGGTAACCAAAAGCTGGGAGAGACAGACCTGAAAAAGCAAACAGCCCAAGCGCTTTGCTAGCGGAACAAACAAAACAAAAGGTGGCAAAATGAATGGCTTGAAACTGACCACAAAAGCAAGTGCGACTATCCGAGCAGCCGGCTCTGAACCTTCTTTGAAATATTTGCTCCTGTGCAGCAATTCAGGTCATTTCCTTGGTGGAAAATGTTTGTCTTGCAGCCTGTGGGTTTTTAAGATCGGGTTGAATTTGTTTGTGTAAAACTTGCTGTAGAAACGAAACCAATGCAAATAATTACAGGTGCTTTCTCTGGGCTTTTAATAGACGTGTATTGGAGAAGATCCAGTGTAAGGTGAATTTGTACCCATGAAGTGGGACCGGAGGCAATAGTATTTAGGGTGTAATTTTCCAATGTGCCTAAGGGTACATCTGCACTGCACACTAGACCCGGGTCTGCCCCAGTGTGGCTACATTTCTGTTATAATTATAGCTAGGGCTGCAATGTTATCAGGGACAATTTCAATAAATTTCACAGCAGAGGTGCAGGAAAACGATTATCTGCCACGGAAGGTAGGATAACGGGGGATCTGTGTGGTGGGTGACAGAACGTGAACGCACCCTGCACTCACCCTACGGCAGCTGCTCCTGGCGGGGCGGGGGGGAGGCATTGTGACCTGGCCCACGTGCTCGCTGCACCACTCAGATTTGGGGGGGGTCCGTCCCTCAGTAGATGGGGACGTAGGTGTGGGAGGCCAAATTTGATCAGCGTTGCAACCAAACTGAAAGGGGTCACAACTCACTCAGGAGCTGGGCCCAGCCCCACCCGGCCACGAGCCACAGCTGCAGGGGTCTTGGACTTTACTCATATCCATAAATAGTGTGACCCCCCCCCATGAGCCCTGTGCCAAAATTGCAGTAGAATTGGTTATAGTTGCCCGGACCATAGGAACTTTGTATGGGATGATGCCAATGCACCTGTACCGGGCACATTTATAGCACCAGGCTGTCAGTTCATCAGAGCTCTTTTCACATCTCTATGTACTTATGTATCCTGATCACCCCATTGTGAGGTATGAAGAATTATCCCCATTTTACAGCTGGAGAATGGAGGCCCAGAGAGACTTGGGGTAACGTGTTCAAAAGCCCCTAAGTGACTCGGGAGGCAAAGTCCCCCTTTCAACAGGGACTAAGGTACTTAAATCCCTTGGGAGTCATTGGGACGTAAGTGACCAGGCCTAGGTCACACACGGAGCCTGTGGCAGAGCAGGGATTTAACGGAGAGCCCCATAGTCTCTGGCTAGCACCTTGACAACCGCACCAGCCTTCCTCTCTTCAAGCAAGTGCTGAAGTCCCAGTGAACCAGTTAGGCCAGGAGAGGTGTTTGCACCACATTCAACTTCCTCTGGAGCTAGGTATCACTGAGACACAGGTCAGACCTTGGCCCCTACCCTTGGTGCTGCTCCAGTGACACCAAGGGAGCAGGAACTGACTGCACGTGCCAGGGGGTGTTAATACAGCAGAGCCAGCTCTTGCAGCCAACAGCCCTTGGCATGTGGCCGGAGCAGTCTGCACTCGGGGTCTCCCCAGTTGGCAAATGGCTCTTTGGGAGTCATGACCTGCTGGTGCAGTTTAGAGCAGCCTCCAGGCTGGACCAGCTTATATATGGCCTGAAGATCAACATGGGATAACAGGAGAGTGGGCGCACAGAGGCTCTGGCCCTGATTTGCAGTAGGGTTTTACTGAGGCTGAGGTTTGAAAGAGCAATTTGGATGCCCAGTTTATGTGAGTTTGGCAACCTAATCCCTGACAGGGCTTTGTAACTCTCAGCCTTAATGTCCAAGTAAAGACAAGCCACAGAGATGGCCGCATTCCGTGGGTGACAACTGGCTAGAGGGGATGGATTTGGAAGCTCTTAGGGGGCATTTCACTTTGTTCTCTCTATAAAGCATTTTGCACATTGCGCTAAGGAGCGCGTATTATGCACATACCTGAAATAAGTGTCCTAAAAGTACATTTTGACCCAAATTTTCCCAAATGGGGTAATTCCACCACACTTTCATATTTTAGCCCCATCCATTCCTTACCCAGTGGGCTCTACTCCCAGCCTTTTCCTTAAATACATAGGAAAAGCTAAACACACACGCTAAATTGTATTTTTGCTAATTTCCCCACTTCCAGGGTGCCCAGGGAACTTGTTTGTTGGTTTCCTCCATCCTTTGCTAAAATCTTGTGGGGGGAACCTTGACCTCCATCTGATATGCCTCTTGGTGATTGTTATGCTCGTGACATAAAAAACACCAAATACTCTTGCTGAAAGTTTGTAACCTAACATTACTTTTATTATTAGAATCCAGAATAACACACAGTATCCAAAAACAGAGAGAGATGAAGCAGGCTGCTCCCTAAGGCAGCGAGGCAAAACTCACCCACCTCTTTCTAGGCTGGCACTTTCCAGTCTGACATCTGCTAGGACCAGATTGCACACTTCCCTACAGGCAGCAAGCAGGACCAGGAAAATCCCCTGAAATTTAAAGGGATAAACCACAAGTTTAACAGTTTTCATACACCACTGTGTTATTGATGATAATCCCATCTGACCTTATGCATCTCTGAAGCATAGACAATATTCCGCCTAGATAGCAGTCAGAAGAGGATCTTGTTATGGACATCCAACTATAACACAGCGGATTGCACTAGACACACACCATGCTGTTACCCCCTCTGAGCTTGAATTTCTCCTCTAATGGATTTTAGAGGCAAAGGAATATTTTCCCCCAGGTTTGCTCTGCTAGTTCTCAGAGCAGGTTTTGAATGGGGCTATCAACAACTCCTGACCCTCTTCTTTTGTCATGCATGTTGCCCCACAGACCTACAAGAGGAAATAGAACATTTTCCTCTCCACGTCACAAAGTCTTTCATCAAGAGATCCATTAGCTAGCAGGCGTCTGTCTGTCTCACAGCATCACCTATTCATTACTGAAGAAAGGCACAAGATGTCCCACCAGACAGTTGGGATACTTCTAGTCTATCTGCACAGTAAGTATTTTAGCCCAATTTATTTCATGCTTATTTTCTACCATGCTACAATTTTCTACCCAAGGACCTTCTGCAATTCTAAGAGGTGTTAACATTGACCTGGTCAGAGAGAGAGTCACATCTTTTAGTTCATCAACTGAAATCTTAAGAGAGGAGATGAAATATTCTGTTTTTAAAGAAACCTGGATGCCAGATACTAACCTTGAAAATAGTTTCTGTTTCTAGATAATATCCTGGAATGTGGTGCAAAATCTACTTCACCCCCCTATGCTGTTGTATAACACAGGCTGGAGTATTTTTAAGCAGAATGATCCTAAGAAAACAAATGGCTAGAAATAGAGAAATTAAAATAAATCTTTAACAAATATGTGTTATTCTTGGATCTTCTGCTCTATATAGTTTATTGCAAAAGCACAGCCTTTTCCAGTGCTCGCTGTATTAACACACTCCTTTCTTCCCCTGTATAGTGGCTGCCTCAGAAGAAGGGATACAAATCCTGCAAAGCCCAGCACAGGTGCAGCGGATCCCTGGACAGACCGCACAGCTGGACTGTCACCCTTCTAAAGCAGAAGGAAGGATTATATGGTACAAGGAACAACAGGGTGGGAGTTTGCAATGGATTTACCAGAGTTTTGAGTCTGCACCTCGAGTAATGTGAACACTGCAGCAAACATGTTTTCTCTGATAATCAGTAACCTGCAAAGAGACGACTCGGGGGTTTATTACTGTGGCCTCTCTGCCTTTCTGTATCTACAGCCCAACTTCGGGAATGGGACCAGACTAATTGTCGCAGGTGAGTTTCCAATGGCTCAGAACAATGATATCCCAATGCTAGGAGGTAGTGTGAAAAAATCATCTTTTTTTGGCTATGTTGTGGCCAATCGCCCTATTTCAGCTTTCAGCCATTGGTATTTTTGCAAAGAGCATAGTGCAGGCAGTGACTCAGGGCACAGTGTGGGGAATTAGGACACCTGGGTTTGTTCCTTAATCCCCAGGCACTGAGGGCAAGATTTTCAGACAAAGTCAGAACCCAAGAGCTCCCATTTAGGTACCCAAATAAATGCCCCAATTTGTAAAATGCTCCAATCAAAACCTAGCTTTTGAAAATCCGGAACATTCTGAAAAATCTGACCTTTAATTTCTCTGCATCTCCGATTCCTCACCTGTATCAGGACTCGCCTGTGTGACAGCACTTTGAGATCTATGGATGAAAAGCACCGTGTCAGTAGTAGGTGTTAATGTTTCTCTGCCGTCTGGCTGGTATGTTACATTAGCAATCGGATTTGATAGTCACCCTTGCTGATGATTCCTACTGAAATTGCCTGAGCCTATGACGTGGGGTATGTTCACCTGCCCTGCTATCCTTACACAACTTTATTATTAATCAGGTTCTTTTCCAGGCATTCACCAAGCCTCATGAAATGATGCCACCCACGTGTTCATACAGGGGACTATTCATTGCCTGAAGCAGCACAGTATGAATTGCACATAATAATTCAATGTACAACTAATAATATCTATTTATTTTTGATCCACATTTTGTGCAAACATTCCAAAGAGTGCCCATAAAAAGGAAGGCAATTTAGGAATTACTTTGGGCGCTACTAAACACTGTAGCTAATGGGATGAATGTAACAATAGGAAAATTTAGACTGACAATTGTTTGTAAGTAAGAAAAGTTCCTCTATCAGGCTTGTCATTCAGAGATCTCAAAGCAGCTTGCAAAGGTGACTAAGTTTCATCTCCCTTACTTTACAATTGGGGAAACTGAGGCATGGAGAGGGGACATGAACTTGTCTCCACGGTCACACAGGAAATCAGAGACAGAGCTGGGAATAGATCTCAGGCCTCCTGACTCCCAGTCTGGGTTCCTCACCAGCAGACCGATCAGCTCGTCCTCTGCCTTTGTACCGAAGCGAACACGCTGTCGTCACTCAGCAAATAATCCAAGTATCAGAGGGGTAGCTGTGTTAGTCTGGATCTGTAAAAAGCAACAGAGAGTCCTGTGGCACCTGTGGCATGTGTCTGACGAAGTGGGCATTCACCCATGAAAGCTTGTGCTCCAATACATCTGTTAGTCTTAAAGGTGCCACAGGACTCTCTGTTTCAAATAATCCACGACGATCATGTCAGGACAAATTTCAGAGCAGCAACGGATCGGGGAGTCTCTGAAAGTGGATACCCCAGCGTGTAAAACACTGAAAACTGGCACAGACAAAGCATTAGACATTGAAAACACCCTGCACTGGCTGTGGCAGGGGTAGGAGCTGGATAGGGACTAGCTGAGCTACCGATAACAGATCTTTCCAATCTCTAGTTTCTGTGACTCTCCTTTAGATGCCGCCGAGCCGAGACTTTCCATCCTGGTTCCCTCCACCCCGGAGGATGCTGAGCTTCCCCCCGTCATTCCTCTGCTCTGCCTGCTCTCAGATTTCACTCCTCCCTGGAGTGCTGTTCTCTGGGGCACTGGTGAGCAGGTGTCTGAAGGTCAGACGGATGCTGGAGCCATCGACGGGAACGGGGTCTTTAGTGTTTGGAGCCTAATGACAATCCCTTCTGAGACGTGGAACCAGAAAACGATCTGCAATTGCACAGCCAAGGAGAACAGCACGGGGAGAAGCATCAGTGCTACTGTCTCCAGGGAAACAGGTCCAGTATCGTATCATCCAATCTAACCTGCCTACCTGGGTATTTATCCTACGCCCCTCACCATGGTATCTGGGCACCAAGAGTCAGTGACATCTACTCCAGGCTAGAGAAATAGACAGGAAGGCTCAGGGGAATGATAACTAATGGAAACAAGGAGAGGTTTGGAAACCATTGAGAGGGAGCTTGAAGTGTGGGGCAGTTACAGTTACGGTTCCTCCCCCGTCACCCACCTTTCCCACCCCAAGCCCTTCTGAAAACCTTCATTTTTCAACCCTCCCAGTGGTGAGAAATGGGTTTCTGGTCAAGTAGCCCGAGCCTTCCCCTGCATGTGAGCACAGCAAGGACACAGAAGGGTCAGTTGAGCTGAGCCAAAGGGGAAGGAAATCAACAAAGGGAACAGCGGCATGAATGTCAGGAATGGCTACCTGACAGCGAGATCTAACAGAGAATGGAACAGATGCCCGGGGCAGGGCGGGAAGCCCCTGTAAAGTGCACTAGTGAATATAACACAGGGAACAATCCTGCAGTGGCCAGGAGGGAGCTAGAGGGCACTCAGTGTAACAGGGACGTCTCTATCTCTGGCTTCTAGGAGTCTGTGCCACCCCCGTTTGATTCTGTTGCAGCCATCACGGGAGCAGGAGGTCTCAGGCTGAAATGGGGCTCCATGGAACGATGTCCAGGGCAGGCCGGCAGGATTAGGGCTGGTCTCCACTGTTACCGGGTAACTCTGTCGAGCCGTGGTGTGAATTGTTGCCGACGCGGCTATGCCAGTAAAAGCCTCAGTGGGGATGTAGTTATAATGTATAAAGGGGCCTTACATCAGCAGTTTATTTCAGTTCATGAATCAGGAGAAGCTGTGCCGGCAATGTTACAGTGGCAACATTTTGTATAGACGCACCCTTTAAGAACAAAGCGAATTCCAGGTGGCACAGACGGGTGTGTCCAGCCTTCCGAAAGGCCTTTAAATTTCCTAATCGCCTCGGCATTTGCAGCAAACTTGTGCTGGGAAAAAAGAAGCCACCTGGAATCTGACCACAACACTTCATGATCCACACATTAGAGGAATTAGGGGGGTGGGAGGGAGAGAAGAGAGACAGAATAACAAGGATAGATCATTTTACAAGGTCACAGAATCGTAGACAATTAGGGTTGGAAGAGACCTCAGGAGGTCATCTAGTCCAATCCCCTGCTCAAAGCAGGACCAACCCCAACTAAATCATCCCTCTTCCCTGTCTTCACACATCTCTCTCCCTCCATATACAGCAGGGCAGTGGCTCTCCACCTTTCCAGACCACTGTACCCCTCTCAGGAGCCTGGTTTGTTTTGCGTGACCCCCAAGTTACATCTCACTTAAAAGTTACTTGCTTACACAATCAGAGATAAACATACAAAAGTGTCACGGCTCACGGTTATTGAAAAATTGCTGACTTTTACATTTTTACCATATCAAACAAATCAATTGGAATATAAATATTATACTTATATTTCAGTGTGTCATAGAGAGAGCAGTATAAACAGTCATTGTCCGGATGAAATTTTAGTTTGTACTGACTTTGCTAGTGCTTGTTATGTAGCTGTTGTAAAACTAGGCAAATATCTAGATGAGTTGATGTCCAGCCTGGAAGACCTCTGTGGTACACATACCCCTGGTTGAGAACCACCTGCACAGAGCACAGAACAACGGATGCAGAGCTTCCGGGAAAACACCTCCCTTTGCCCATGGCATTGCATGGGACATAGAGATCAGCAGCTCCTGTTTTGATAGGTTTCAGAGTAGCAGCCGTGTTAGTCTGTATCCGCAAAAAGAACAGGTGTACTTGTGGCACTTTAGAGACTGTTTTGATAGGTGTTTTCTATATGCAGCATCTCTTCTCTCTGCAGGAGGCTGTGGGATTGTGCTCTACGCTGGGCTGCCCTGTATTTCCATCCTTCTCCTGATACAGCTGTTGATCTTGCTCTGGAGAAAGTGCCCCGTCAGAGGTAACTCAGTCATATCTCCGTCTGCCGTAAAGCAGCCACTCATCACACATCCCTATAACTGTCCCTTTGTTTCATCCACCAGGGAGAGCTGTGCAAAGAGAGAAGCCAATACCTATGAGACAGAACCCACAGGTAAACTGTTTTTTTAGCATTTGGCACATCAGAAAGATACAGTGTCTTAACAACAGGGGACTAGAACCAGTATCCTGGCCGATGTCCAACCCAAGTGTCTATACATTGCCTCCTGAATTGTCTGAGGTTTCATTTGAATTTATTCTTCATTGCTCTTCCAGTGGAAGTGTTGTGGAGGGTTGTTGGTATAGAAGAACTGCTGGGTTCCACCCCAGAGGTGGCTGCAGGTCAGGCATGATGAAATAGTGTGGTGTATATTTCTGTAAAGGACCACCAGATCATCTTGTCTGACCTCATGTGTATCACAGGCCACCAACAGCATCCAGCCACACTCACACTAAACCCTGCACACAGGACAAAAGACAACAACTGAGGAATCTGCACCATTGATATAGGTTTCTCACAATCTTACAACACAAAAGCTGCTCTAATTCAAAGAATTAATAAGAATATCGTCTCTCTCCTTTTTCTGTTTCAGACTGAATATGCGACTCTGCCGTACAACAGAAACGCTCCTCTGTGACTGATGCAGTCTCACAAAAGTGGTTTATATTTTTTAAAACAAGAGATGAAAAAAGAAAGAACAAAAGTGAGAGAAATATGGAAAGTCTCATGTTTGTAATGGGCTATGAGGTGATGTGAGTTTGCTTAAAATACAACCACTTCCACGGTCACTTCTCTGACCCCATAGTCTGGACCGACACCTCCCTTCTTGCAAAAAGCCACGTGGGGTCATTTGTGAATTGCCTGCAGATGCATGGGACATTGTATTTACCTCTCATCTCAAGCATGTCACTTCCCCCACCGTAGCGCCTTGTGACAGGGTTCACTCACCCCTAGGGCGTCTCCTCCTGGCTGCTCATGGGATTAGCTCCTTCCAGCTCCAACACCCCCTTCCATCATCTCGTTCTCGCTGCAGCCCCACTCGCTCTCTGGGACTCTGTACTTTCCTCTTCCTGGCTTGGCTGCTCCCTCGTCAGGCCTTGGCCCTCTGGCCAGGTCACTGGGTGTTTTCCCCCTGCCAGGGTGTCAAAGTGCCACAGAACTAACTGTCCCAGGTCATCACCACACCCACTGCCCTGACTGTGCCACTTCCCCAGTGGCTGGGCGGGGAACCTGGGCCTGTCCTCTGCTCCTGGTTCCAGGTCAGGGATCCTGGAGTCAGTGGCTAAGGTCTGCAATGTCCTGCCTTGCAGGGGCTTCCGTGAGCCTCTTCCTCCTTTGCCTCTCTCACCACACCACTACCCTGCTAGATAAAACATTCCTTCAGGGCCTGGGTCCTCTGGGTTTCTCCTCTGCCCTCAGGCTTCCTCTTTTCCCTCTCTCATGCCCAGAGAGTGACTGCAGCCTTCTTCCCTGCAGCCCTTATCTGCTGCCGGGTTCCTGGATTTATACCAATCCCACCTGCTCCTGCTCAGCTGGGCTCCATGATCGGGCAGGGGTTACGTAGGCCACTTAATTCCTCTCACCTGGGGCCTACCTGCTTAGTGGGCCCCTTCTTAACCTCATTAACCCCTTCTAGGCTAGTGTGGGGTGAACACCGCATCACATCCCCTATCACCAGGGCAAGTGGTGCTGATGGAGGGTGATAGAGTCACCTGCTCAGTTTGTGAACCTCCCTCTGCAGAGGGAGCCCAGCCCAAAGCCGGTCGTGCTGTGGCTTTGGGGTCAATACTTGATCACAATCAGGCCTGTGTTTTCACATTTTTACTGTCACTCGCGAGGAGCCAAAGGGCTGGTTAGGCTTCCAATAACAGAACATGGATGTTAAGGGTCAGACTGCAACACTTGTATCCACACTGGTGAGAAGTTATGGATGTGAGTAGTCCCTGGAACTTCAGTGGCACCCCTGCTGTGAATAACAGCTCCCCAGAGGGAGTGAGAGGTTCATCGCCTGGCCCCAAATGAAATACAAAGGGCCACTTACTGCTCTCAGTGACCCCTGTAAACCCAGAGTAATTCCACTGCCTTCAGCAGAGTTCCTCTCTACTGGTATACACCAGCGTCAGTGAGAGCAGAATCTGGCCCAAAGACTGTAAGAAGTCACCTGTCACATATAATATGCTGAGCGTCATGCATCTCAGCTGCTAGAGAAAGGAATGGAAACATGCGGGAGGAGGTGGCGTATTTTTTTAATGTGCAACATTTAGAATTACAGATTCAAAACGAGGAGTTAGGATCAAACCAGGCGACATGTGCAGGCTCCATGGCTGGGGGAGCCTCTCCCATTGATAAAACATTGTTACTGAGAGAAGATAGACGGAAAAGCAGCAGTCTCCCAAGGAATTCATTGGAGTAGCTGCTCCAGGACAGGGATGCGGAGAGAGCCTGACCTCACACAGCTCCGTCCAGACACAGTTTCCCATTTATAATCTCCCCTCACACCATGGAACGATACTGCTGGCCAGGCGGCACGGTCCTGCTGATGGCAGCTCCTAGGAAGCAGTCTCCACCCAACTGGAAAGTGTCACTTCAGTCTGGTTCTGCCCCTTCCATCTGCTGTGTGCGTCAGGGGGCCAAGGCTGGTTCTGCATCTGGGTTTTTCTCGTCCCTTTTCTGCCACCGGTAACACACCGGAGTGACACACCCAGTCGGGTGGATGTTCAGTTTCTCATGGGTACAACCTCCCACCTCCTCTTTTTAAATCACCAAGGGCTCGGCTTAGACATGATAGTAGCTGAGTTCACTGTGACGGCCTGTGTGAGTAAGGCAGGCCTGAGCCCCAACTCCTGTTACCAGCCTGAGTAACTGAGCTCGAGATCTCTAGGGGGGAAGAGGCGAGGAATCGTCTCCTTCATGGGTCACAGAACGGTGGTGGAGCCACCCCAACGACAGGGCTGGAGCAGGCTCTGTGGCCCTAGTGCCCCAGCTCCACAGGGGCTGTTGTCTAGAGGATTGGTGCAGTGGCAGATTCACTCCCTGCCAACCCCATCCCTCTCCCTGGGGTCACACTGAGCAGAGAGCCAAGCTCTGGAGTGCACAGGGAGCACGTCGGTGACGCGCAGGCTCCTGCAATCCCGCCCCTTTACGAAGTGACACCGCACTGCTCCTGCGGTCTGGGACCCTCTGCACCCACAGAGGGGTGAGATTTGTCCAGAAACGCACCAATGTGTTGCCAAGATACCTGTAGGACAACGTCTTTCATATCACACTAGGAAATCTCCCACCATCAAAGGTCTGGTTCGTTTTGTGACTTCCTGCTCTGTATAGGCCGGATGGACGAGCGGGTTAATTTTCAGTTACATTTTGGAACGGAGCCACATGCAGCAGCAGTGAAGAGCAGTAAGAAGCAGTGAAACCGACCAACAGCTTTTACAGAAAGTCAACACCTTACAGGATGGTCCTGTCATTGAGCTCGACAGTGAAACAGCTGTGAGTGTCCAGGCTTGGATCCCCGTGTGGGCTACGATTTCCCCCTTTCCCCTTTCACTGGTCGCTGCTCCCTGCTCTGGTTGGGATTCCTTGAGTCAAACTCCAGTTGGGCATGAACTGTTTGACCCTGTTTGACAACATTTAGCAACATTAGACACCTCCCTGCAAGGTTAATTAGCCAAACTTTGATAGAGTTGGACACAACAATCAGTTACATTTACAAACCGATTGTTAAGCTTTATTTAAAATTCCACTATCCAAACAGTGCACGTCGTTAGCACTGAAATGATCATGGGAATCTTGCTTTAAAAGTCCAGCAGTTGACTGCAAAGGGAGTTTAGGACTGACACAGTTTTTCCATGTACCCAATAACTCCTCTGGGTCTGCGGCTTTCGCTCTTTTGCTGAATTTTCATATAAGACAGAAAAGGCCAAATCCAGGCTTAGCAGAATTACTGGGGCATTGGAACCATCAGCATCCTAAATCCACTCGTTTTGAAGACCCAGTCAATGGCTCATTAGAGGAAATTAAAGTTTTTCTTCACCCCTTACAGCTGTTTTCTGATCAATTTATACCCAGGCCCAGATTATCCTGCCACTTCAATGGGAGTTGTGCATTTACAACTGATGGGCTAACCCGGCCTCTGCTGTGTAATTTACATCACTGGTCACATCCCAACTCAATTCGCCCAGAGATTCCCATGGGAGTGTCACCTGCTTATCTGAGGCAGAAGTTTGCCCTGTGCGATAACGCAAACAATGAATGGTAGAACTAGCGTGTTCAGCCATCAGATGTAATAGCAGTTCCAAGCACCGAGCCTGGCCGAATACAGCACTCGTCTCTATGGAAGAGCTGCTGCGTTACAGGTGTGTAGGAAGGAATAAATGTTCAGGCGGGACAAAGAGAAGGAACTGGTAGAGCTGTTTTCAAATTTTGTGATTTTCTGAGAAATCAGCCCCACTATTAACAGGGCTGCTGCTACGTCTCCACACCCGGGACGGACTATAGAGTGTTGATTACCTGGATTAGAACAGCAATGACTCCAGTCCAGGCTCAGAGACACCATCAATACCACCAAGAAAATTGCCACTGCATAGCGCAGCGTCTGCGCCACACACTCGTTGGAATGGGCTGTGGAGGAAGCCGACACCAGTGGACTGTGAGGAGCTTTTTTGTACCTTTTCATTAAATCCTTGGGTTTTAATTCCCCTCTCCCCAGTAGTTATTATTTAATTCTTTACAGTGCTTTATAGGTACAATCTGGGTGAAAGCTGCTCTAGAAATCCGAGCTACATTGCCTTGGGGTCTCTCTAATGTCTCAGTTTAGCTTTCCCCAAATTCTCTGCAAATCTGCCTACTTTTAATTATGGCATAAAATATTCCAGCTTTCTGGAATGGAAAGTTACGTAGAAGCAACTCGGATTGTGCCCACTTGACACCTATTTCACATCTGAATCTCCATTAGCCTCAAATATCATATCACTCACCTGCAGGATACCTGGTACTTCTCTTCACACTGTTGCCAGAAGAGTTGAATTTGACTTCACAGGTGAAATTCTTCCCACTGGTCCAGGTGTCCATGGGGACGCTGATGTGATTTATGAGTGTTAAAGATCCATCCCTTGCTCTCAATGAGCGCGTCAGCCCCTGTTCCTGCAGCTCCCCAGAAACACTCCAGGAAACATGGACTGGGCTGGACACTCCATGGATCACACAGGCCAGATTTGCTGTCCCAGTGACTTGACTGCCACGTGGAAATGGGACCAGAATCATCACCCAGCTGCTGTTGGTATAACTGTCTGAGCAGAAGGAGGTGGAGAATTTAGTGTGATAGTCAGATGAGCTGCAGACTGATTAAAGATGTTAATCTTCCATAAGACAAGGTGGGTGAGGTAATACCTTTTACAGGACCAACTTCTGTTGGTGAGAGAGAGAAGCTTTCGAGCCACACAGAGCTCTTCTTCAGGTCTGGGAATTTACTCAGTGTGTCATTCCCAGACCTGAAGAAGAGCTCTGTGTGGCTGGAAAGCTTGTCTCTCTCACCAAGAGAAATGGGTCCAGTAAAAGATATTATCTCACCCACCTTGTCTCTGATATCCTGAGACCAACATGGCTACAAAAACAGTGCATATTATCTGTCACTAAGACATCAATTCAAAGAAACATATTTATTGAAGAAGGAAAGATTCAATCACCACACAACCACTAACTAGGATGTAGTGCAATACATATCTGCACTAGCCAGGAGGAAAATTGTGTGCAACGTTATAAATTTTATAAATATTTCATTAACTCAAAATTC